GCCATTGAAGCTAGACTCCTCGGGTCATGGAATTTAAATTCCTCTTGATGCAGACTTGCTAGGTGCATTTTCCCCTGGCCCTCTTACGACAACACTGTTAATTGAGACTGAGACACGTCGGATTCTTTCGCTAAAGCCCTCTTTGAGAGTATACAGACGCGAATACTGGAGAGAAGCGGGGAGGGCGAGACTACTGATTGTCTGCTGCTGGTGCATATGCTGCTGGTGCATAAATCAAGTATCCATGCAACATGAAGTTCCATTCCATCGTCGCTTAACACAACTAGGAACGCAAGATCTTGCCTCTCCGATCGAACAGCCTCTTCAAGAGAGGCGCATTCTTGCTTTGCGGAGTGTTCACGCTCCACGAGGCCACTTTATAAAGGCCGCCAGCGGGGTGCAGAAGGGATCTACGGCGCCACCATGAGGCCCTCAATGGCGATGTCGATGACTTAGTTGCAGTTTTTGGGGCCCTGCTAGTGTTCGGCACTTTCGTCTCGCCCTCGTCTTGGTCACGATAATATGCAAAATCCTGTCGCGACTCCTTGAGGTGCGTTAAGGTCTCTTCGGATGGTCGAATCCTTGTACCTGGTCGTGATGGATAACGTCGGAGAGTGCTAGCAATCACGTTGGTGAATGGTCTCGAGGCTATTTATGTTGCTATCGCTGGTTTTGGTGCTGTTGTCGTCCAATCCTCCGCAGTTCATGAGCAACGGCTTGGTTTGGCAAGTGAGTAGTTGTCCCGTCATGATTCACGTTGTAGGTTCCAGCCATGAAATGTTGCTTCTTCCTGTAAACCTCATGAGTTTGTCATTATTCTGAGTCTTCTTGATACGAGGCTATAAAACGGGGATGGGATTTCTAGTCCCTCTGGAGAGCACGCTGTCAAGACTCCTCTTTTTCGAGGCAAGTCCAAGCCCTTTTGCATGTTTCCTTTATTTCAGTAAACGAGAGAAAACTGCTTAGAAGCAACGATCAACTGCTTCAATGAAGATGTTCTCCACAACAAGACCACCAGACTCATGAATCTCAAGCTTCCAGGTCCCCAAACCCAAGATTATCAATGTCAAACTCTTCCACCCTCCTCTTAACCATCACCACAGCTTTCGGGTTCACATTCATAGACGCGCCCGTAATCACAGGCTCCGAAGGCGACCCCGGCGCCAGCCTCCAGTCATACTTCAACAGCAAGTGACAAAGCGCAACTTTCACCTCGTTGGAGGCGAAGAACCGGCCAGGGCACGCGTGCAAGCCGTGACCGAAGCCCAGGTGTTCCGGGCTCGTCGTCACGAGCTGCGCCTTGTTGGCGCCGCCGGGCTGCTCGCGCATGCGGCGGAAGCGGTGGATGTCGTAGGTCTCGGGGTGTTCGTAGACGGTCGGGTCGATGGAGCTGTAGGTGTCGACGGAGACGGTGTCGCCGCGGCGGATGGTGATGTTGGAGTCTGGGAGGGTCACGTCTTTGGTGGCGAGGCGGCGCATGAGGACTGTAGTCGAAGAAGTGATTAAGTAATTGGAGGCTTTGGGTTGTTGTATGTAATGGAGAGGGCGGTGGACTTACGCATGGAGACGGGCTTCATTCTTTGCGTCTCCTTGATGGCGCTGTCTAGGAGCTTCATGTTATACAGCGCGCTCTTCTTCCATCCCTCGGCTTTCAGGACCTCTACGATCTCGGCTCTCAGGGGGCCGATCAGCTCCGGCTCCCTGGCTAAGTAGATGAGCGTCTGAGCAAGGAGGTCCGTCGTAGTGTGAATAGCCACAAAGGAGAGCGTGAGCTGGAAAATGGCAGCATCGTACGCCCCTCCCTGTGCCTCAGCCTCAGCCCACTCAATAGCATCGTTAAACACCGACATCTCAGCAGCCTGGCTTCCGGCAGCGGCTGCCCGTTTCTCCGCGCGCCGCTTTTCAATGACTGGTGCGATGAGCTTCTGGGCCTCGGCGAGGGACTCACGCGTGCGTCTGCAGTCTGCGGAGAACCAGTGGAGCAGGGGGCGCAGACGGAAGGGCACGGCGCGGAGCTTGAAGGCTGCGGTGAAGGAGAGGACAGTGTAGTCCTTTGTGATGCGGAGCCAATCTTCGTTACGGCAGAGTTCTGAGCCGAGGAAGACGCGGGAGGAGAGGCGGGCTACGAGGTCGAGGATTGTGTCTTTTAGGGGCAGTTGGTGCCATTCTGGAGTGGCGGTACTGTTAGTTTGGGTTTCACAGAAAGGCATGCCGAGGAATCTAGGAGATGGCCATGATATCTACCTTGAGATTCGCCGAAGATGAGGTTTGCTGCGAACGCGGTTTCGAGAGAGAGCGGTTCGGTGATGGTATCTGCCAGAGGAATTTTCGAGTCAGCCATCGACTTGTATTTTCCTGAGTTAGAATCTCGTGGAGCTTACTGAGCGACTTGGTAAGTTGCTTGCGAGCAACTACTTGCAGGATCTTGTTATCGTCGTCAACAAATCCGAACGGCTGGAATCCCGGGATTGTGCCATGGAGGTCCTACAAATTGAGCAAAAATATCAGTATAACAAGAGCTCCCCAAATAAAACGTCTTAAAGAACCACCCTGGGTAGTCTTCACGGCCCTGTGAACTCACCCGCATGATCACAGCCCCGAAGCTCAGTCCCTCCTCATTCCGGATGACGTTGGCGAAACGAGTGGGCAGAAAAATAATCTCCCCACTCTCTGCAAGGACCTTGTAGGGTTTGTCGCGCAACGTGGCTCTCCCTCTCGCAATCAGTTCCTTTCCTGTTTTGAAGAATTCAATCTGTGCTAGGAAGGTCGGTCTAAACCACTTTGGCGGTGGCTGCAGGAGGGGTAAATCGTCGTGTTTGGAAACTTTGAGGAAGATGGAAAAGACGACGACCAAGAAGGCAGTGGCGATGTAGCCGTACGGCTGGATTGTTGGGCTTGGACTGTTCTCTTTGCCTAGCCATGAGAAAGCGGACGCGATTGGTGAAGATGAAGCCATTGTGACTCGTTTTGGAGATCAGTTTGCTGTTGTGATGGTCGACAGGGCGTGGTAAGATATAAGTAGAGCTGCTTCGTCAAGAGTCGTCCATTTCAACCTTCATGGAATGGCCTCCTTATGTAAAGAACATTTAGTTGTTCAGCATGCCTCTCAGGAGCATCATCATGGAGCCAATAACTGATCAACTTAGGATGACGGAAATTATCTCGACTCTGAATTCCATACCAGGTCTTGAAATGGGTCTCAACGGACAGCTCCTAGCGAGCTTCAACCCTATGCATGGCTTTCCCCCATCTCACATGAGGCAGAGGACTACAAATCAAAACGTTCTCATTCGCTACAACGTTGATGGTAAACCACATATCGGGAATCGCTTGCAAAGCCGAAAGGCGAAATACTGCGTCCGCACGATAGACTGTCGTCAGTCATGACATCGGGACGGAATTCAGACGAACTGATGTCAACCGATCCGATGAACATGCGGGCAATCACCTTTGTCAAGTGCGCCTTGCGTTCCCATTTTTGTTCTTTCTTTCTTTCTTACCGCTTTTCCGCCATAGTATATGGGTAGCATATGTCCATTCGTTAGAATGCAGCCGATGTTTCACCACTTTGCTAAGCGGTGGGAGCCGAAACTTTTGACCAGTCAGCATCGAGGCTCACGATGTTCAGGCACTGTAACTTGCATTGACAAACACTGACTCAAGCTCCGTACGGCTCCGGAGTCTTTAAAGTCTCTCAATCCCGCCTCATGCTTTGCTTTAAACTACAGACTGTCCACCAAGATAACTTATGGGGCTGTGTCATGATCGTGGGGTAGGATGAACATAAAAACCAGCCACTGGAAGCGCAGGCTACGGTAGGCAGAACCAATGATAGCTCGCACTTTACGCGGGTAACGATATTACAATCTTCAACCAGGGCCTGTAGTTAGAGACCGAAGTCCGTGTCTCAGCTACGGGTACGGTAACTAATGTCACATAGTGCAAGATTCGAGCAAATGCCTATTTAGGGGAAGCCGGCACTCGAAGCCGCCAAGGCCTAGCAAGGCAGATCTGTCAACCCCCAAATTCTGGAGCAAGCGAGTCTGTAACTAACGAACTGCCTAGCTCGTATCTCGTGTTCGTAACTCGGGTTCCGTCGCGTTTACAACCGTATGGGGCAAAAGCGGACGAATCAGGTACTCTATAACCAAGGGCAAATGGACATCGACCAAACGGATTACTCCTTGCCGAGACTGGGTTATGCCGTTAGATATACGAACGGGTCTTCCCGAATCTCCCGTTGACGTGTGAAGTGTGGCTATGACGGCTCAGCCTAGTGGGGGTTTGACCCTTGTCACTGCGTTCGCGCCTGGGCTTTGTAACGAAACCTTAATATTCCAAGAGATTTTTAAGCCAACGTCTGCGTGTAAAGTTACAATTACACGAGTAAGTCAGCGGATAGTACGGCTAGGCAAAGGCTGTAAAATGGGGGAGAGAGCTATTCAATCTGCCTAGTTCAGGACATTCGAAAGTCCATTGGTTCCTATGATCTTAGGCCCGCAGATCCGTCAGGTTTTGTCTCGTTAGGATAGGTAAGGTAATAATTGGCTACGATGCCAAGAGAACGCAGAAAGCTTGGGTGAGATTGGTCCTTTCATGTACTTACCTAAGCTTTTACTCACTTGATAAGAAAGCCTGGGCTCCAGAGGCGCAGGATGTATGTTCTCATTGCCAATTCCGTGTAGCCTTTCATAATTGTTTTCTTTCAGTATCTGCTCTGGATATTGTACTGGTATCTCGCTCTTTCAAATCTGGTTTTATCTCAGACAATCTGTCTTATTATACTATCTCATTGACAGTCATCACAAAGAGAAGGCAACCAGAAACAATAAAAGGACAGCCATAAGAGAAGGATCGGGAGGATAGAGAGCACGGAAGAGCGCGAAAACCTACGAAGCCGAAGGTGACTCCCCTTGTGATCTGAACGAAGACGCGAGCCGAGATCCTGGACCGTTTGACTCGAGAGTGACACTACGGAATTGGACCGTCCTGAAGATTCAATGGCGAAATGCAAAGAGCATCCTCTGGATGTTCCAAGTACGTTAAGATATATGACAACATCGGTCGAAGGCACGTCTGACAAATCTACTGCAAGTTATCGAACAGAAGCTCGGTGGCGGTATCCGAGTCCACGGCCTGTTGATATCTCTATCAGCAGGAGCAACCATAGTCGCCTGTTGTGCTACGGCATACCTCATCTTCAGACACGCGAGCAACTACACGAAACCCAAAGAACAGAAGCAGTGAGTTCCGCATATCTCGTTCTCTAACACTCTCCCATCATAGATCGTTCGTGGGTTCTGACAAAAAGACATTGTTGCACAGAATAATCCGGATCCTGTTGATGGTCCCAGTCTACTCCATCGCATGCAGCCTGAGTATCATCTTTTACAAGAAGCAGGTGTACATCGGAAGCGTTTACGAGTTCTACGAGTCCTTAGTCATCACGTCCTTCTTCCTGTTACTCTGCCAGCTGCTGCATCCCGATCTGAATACACTACGCCGGGTCTTCAACTTGGCGGAGCCGAAGAAGTGGCTCAATCCCACACGGTTCTTTGTCAAACATGTCGGAAGAAACAAAAAGGGACAAACTGAGGACGGCCTGAAATGGTTCAACGTGAGTGAACCCAGCTCATAATCATGGTGCCTCTTATATAGTCTGCGTCTAACTAATTTTTGGTAGATTGTTTGGTTCGGTGTCTTCCAGTTCTGTACTGTCAAGTTCTTCGGCGCTCTCACAAAATGCATCACGGAAGCGGCGGACGTGTATTGCAAGGAATCCAAGGATCCTAGTCATGCCAAGATCTGGGTGAGTTAGACCTCAGTGAAGACAAGACAAGATTCTCGAGGGTCGAACATGGTAGAGAGCGAAGACTAGAGACACTGACTACGAATAGGTCATGGTCATTGAGATCTTGTCCCTCGTCACAGCCATGATGTGCCTGCTGCAATTCTACCATCAAACCTCAAAGGAGATGGCCCAGCATCGACCTCTGCTCAAGTTCCTCGCCATCAAGCTGGTGGTGTTTCTATTCTACGTTCAGACCGTGAGTGCAAATTCCTTCTCCCTAGATAGGTGGTTTCCAACAACGTCCTCTCCTGGCCGCCTGTCTACTATGAACGTACGCTGACGCCGAAGCGACACCAGGGCATCTTCGAGTTCCTCACAGGCGACGGTGGTCCATTGAAACCAACAGCATACATCTCGCACCCGTCATGGGCAGTCGGTTTTCCCAACACACTCCTCTGCTTCGAGATGGCAGCCGTATCGATCCTCCACCTTTATGCCTACCCCTACTCCATCTACAAAGACCCAGCCGCACCGCAAAAAAACAGACACAATACCGGCGACGAAGATGGGCAGGGCACAGATCAGAACTCTGCGACGCGAATCATCCCTGTAAGAAGCCGAGAAGTCTGGCCTCAGCAGCCTGAGACTGCGTATGGACGGGCAGGAGCAGAAGAGCAGGATGCATGCGGCGTTTGGGATGGAGCTGACGGCTCTACTCGGCCTAACGCCAAGACCAGCGTCTCTGCGCGGGGCTTCCAATGGAGAGCGTTGAAGGATGCCCTCAACTTTGTGGATATTGTCCGGGCTGTTGTGACAGCGTCGCGGTGGCTGGTTGTCGAGCGACGGAGGGCTGCTCGGGGTTCTGGAACTGGGGAGGTCCAGATGCAAAGTGAGAATGGGGCGCAGTATATGGAAAGGGTCAAAACGGATGATTTATCTGAGGCTCTGAATATGGTCAACAGTCATATGTCTCGCAGATGAACGACCAGGCATAATTGACATGCCTGACGAAAACCTAGCTGCTGATGACCCTCTTCATGGCGTGGAATGAGAAAAATGGTATTGTTCATTGGATGTAATTCGTACTATACCTTTCCGTCTCGAGTTATCATCTCTCAGTGTCTTGAGATTCGCGAGATCATAGACTTGTCGTTCGAGGGCTCTTCGAAATTCAACCCTAGCAACGCAGTCAAGCCCCATCAAGAACAACAGCACGCATTTCAATCAAACCATTCGAGTCTGAGCAACAACTTCTAAAGCCATATTTCTTCTACCCATTTCTCAAGTCTTGCACGAGACTTCCATGCAGCCCTGAAGGAATACATCCACTTGCTCCACCACGCGTAAGCCCTCACGCATCTCGTCTCCCACCTCACTTGAGAGTCCGTCCATAGACCCGTTTCCGAGCGGATCTGTCAACCAAGTTTCCTCCCCCACCAAGGGGATGCGTGCAAGCTTCAATTCGCCCAGATCGTCTAGTTGGTTAGGATGATACGTTGTGGTTCTTCTATACAGCGATCCGTGTTGACGGCGGTTCGAATCCGCCTCTGGGCAATTACCCGAAACTGATCATCGCGATCAGTTTACTTTTTTGTGTTTGGTCAGAAATTTGAGGCATGGAGTTCTGTATTGATGGGTGGGGATGGATGTCCTGCGTTGTTGTGAAGTACTTGATGTAGGCCAAGTATCGGAGGGGCGGTTGGCTGCTCGAAATAATGAGATAATGTATATTGAAAAGGATTGAATAAGTCAAAATTCATGTGCCCGGTCGGTCAGCATGACACTGGAACATGCTCACCCAAAGCCGTGAAAAAATGCCAGAATCCAAGCAACGTTGAGCCACCAGTCAACAACTCAATCAAGCGTGAGACGCATTTCATTGGCTCTATGCATGAGTAGCAATATGGTGTTTGCATTCTCTAAAGACCTCTTCCCATCGGTCCGAAGTCCCCCGTCTCTCTTTCTCCTTCTCTTCCCATCATGTTTTATAGTACAGTAGTATTAACAAATTTTCTTCACGCAAAGCCCCCTTTTATCGTCTAACCGTGCCAATGCTGGCGGTGCCGTGAGCGCGCGCGCCAAAATAATCAAAAAAGAGATTCCGCCTCCTAAAAACGCCATGCCATGCGGAGTCGAGTGAAGTTTGTTCCAATACAGTTTTCTGACCCTCGAGCAGCTCTTTGGCAGAGCACGCTCAGTGGTCATACCCCCTCCCATCCCTCCGTCGGGGTCCGTTCGTACATCGGTTCGGTCTGGCCCGGCCTAAGATCGCTCGTCGCAGGAGAAGCCTTCGTCGTCCGTTACTGCGTCAGCGTCCTCGTGACGACCGTCCTGCCGCCGCCGCCGCCGCAGTTCTCGCGGTGGCAGTTCACCGGTCCTTGTAAATCTTGGGCTTGAAGCCTTCCTTCACCTCAGCCTCGACCTCCTCCTTCTCCACCAGCGGCCCAATCTCCTTTTCCAACCTCTCCCTCGCCCGGAGCACCTTGCTCTGGAGGTAGAAGCTGCCGCCCTTCTTGGGATCGTTGACGTCGAACAGCTTCTTGAAGCGCTCCATGACCTCGCCCGGGTTGGCGTCGGCACCGTTCTTGCCGGGTGCCTCGACGTTGAGGATCTTGCACGCCTCGTCGAGGGTCATGCCCGAGCCGCCGGAGCCGGCACCCTTTGTGCCGGCGGGTGCGTTGCCGTTCTTGGCTTGCGCGCGGGCGTACTCGGAGGAGGCCTGCGCTTGCTTGTAGGCTGCGGCGAAGGAGCGACCGACGATGCGGGTGCCGACGAAGACGACTTGGGTGATAAGGCGGTAGGCCTAGAGGTTGCGAGGGTTAGTCGGGTTTCGCTTCGCAGGATCGGTATGAGGTTGGTGAGCTCTGGCGGCGCATTCGGTTCGGAAGGGCGCGCGCGAGAGAGAGAGAGAGTAGGGTAGGAGGGGAAAGCTTGAGGCGAACTCACCATGTTTGCTGTATTAGTAGCCTCTGCGCGAAGGACGGTAGAGATGTTGTTGATGGAGGCGGATCGGTGCTCGATGACTGATCGCACGGTATACAGGGACCCGAGATGCGATGTCGCGCGTGTTCAGTACAGCTTGGCTGGTACGGGGGGGCGCTGGGCGTAAGGATGGCTCGCAACCTATCCAAAAAAATCCATCGACGACATGGAAATTGCCGACGAGAAATTCCGAGCTTCCTGCACTTCGGAGGAGCGGGTTTGGCCGGGCGCCGACAACTTTTTTCTCGGGCCTTCCGTGCATACTGCGCCACATGTGCTATCCTCAGCCACAACACTGATTCAAGTAGGCCGCCTCTCCTGTGGCTTGTTATTCACCCTGATGCTCGCGGGAAATGAGCAATGGATTCCCCTTGTCAACAGGGCACGGGGCTTGATTTTGAGTTTGAGTCCATCGTCGAAATGTTCCGCTGCGCTTGTGCTCTCTTTCAACGTCTCGACGGCACTGCATACCCATGGAACCTTGATTTCACCTCGAGTGTCTGATGCTCATGTTGTTTGTTGCATAGAGAGCACGATGAAGAATAGGAGTTGGCGCAGGCATTCACAGCACAACCTCGAGGGGTTACTAGGCCGACCCGACTGTTCAGAATCTTGGTACATCAGTCTCCGTGACTGAGTAGCAACCATTCCGAAGCTTCCAGGAGACAAATCATTCAGGCAAAATCTCTAGCGCTGAATAAGGCAGAAGAGTCTTCTAGGTAAGAGGATATGTACTGGTCGGTTTATGTACTCCGCTCTATGGCAGTCTAAGTATGTACAGATGAATTATTTACGGGATAAGATAGTATGTTCCAAGACGTGAAAACGAGATCTAGGACCAGGTGGTGGTGGCACCAATGGCCTCACCAGAGGTAGGAATCAAGAAGTTGCTCGCCACAATCTTGCCGTTGGCCTGGCGCGCACCCTTAACCAAGCTAACATCGACGCTCTTGAAGCTCGAAGCGGACCAGGTCGCGCTGCCGTCCCACGAGTTGCCGCTGCTGGTGGTGCCGCTGACGAGCGACGTCTGTCCCGACTTGGCCGTGGTCGCCGAGTTGGCGGCGGCGACATTGCTCTTGAGCGTCGACTTGGTCGTGATGGTCTGGAAGCCGACGGCGCCGTTGTTGTAGGCTGTGTTGCGTGTGAACTGGAAGTTGCCGGGCTGCTTGTTGTCGGTGAAGCCCTTGGCCACGTTGTTGAAGGCGATGCTGTTGGTGATGACGTGGTTCGCCGAGCCGACGTCGGCGGCGTCGCCGCCGCCCAGCTTGAAGCCGTTGCCGTCGCCCTGGAAGTCGGTGAAGCCCCAGCGGTTCACGCCGTTGCCCCATGAGATGGTGTCCATGATGGTGACGGGGGACTTGAACTCCCTGTTGTTATGTTTATTAGCGGGTGTTTAGGTGGGCTTGGGGAATGTGGGAAGATATAACTAACCAAAGGTCCAAACCGTCGTCAACGTTCTCCCAAAGACGAGCGCCCTTCAGAATGTTACCCGTGCCGGAGCCCTCCTTGCAGGCGAAGCCGTCGGCGCTCTCGCCGTTCTTGCGGGGGTCGCGGTTGCGGTAGGAGTCGAGGTAGATGACCTGGTTGTTGCTCAGGGAGCCCTGCATCTGGAAGCCCGTCTCGTAGTTGTCGTGGGTGACGATGCGCTCAAAGTAGTTGTTGGATCCGTCGCGGAGGTAGACACCGTAGGGGCCGTTGATGATGGTCAACTTGTAAAACTTCCAGTAGTTGGCCCCCTCGATGTGAAGAACACCACGGTCGGCGTTGGCAAGAGAGGAGTCGAGAGCGCCGGGGGTGCCGGGCAAAGCCTCTCCGTCGATGGTGACGGCCTCATCGTTGTAAGCCGTCAGGGTATAGGGCTTGGCGGAGGTGCCGCTCTTGGTGATCTTGATGTTAGTCGTGGGCGAGTATGTGCCGGCACGGAGGTAGATGGTGTCGCCGGCAACGGCCTTGTCGACTGCAACTTGGATGGACTTGAGAGGAGCAGCGAGAGTCCCGGCAGCGCTATCTGAGCCGGCGGGCGCGACGTAGAGGTCCGCGGCCAAGACGACCGGGAGGATGGCGATGAGGAACCTGTAGAGACCCATGTTTGCTGTTGAAAAACCAAAAAGACCAATTGCAAGGTAAGGAATGAATGACTGCAGCAGTGAAGACTGATCGAGAGGGATCAGCTCTTGCCGATTAGCCGGCTGCCATCAAGCTTAAATACAAACTTCGCATCGTCAACAGGGAGCCCTCGTCTCTGAGAGCTGTCAGTCTAGGTCATGATGAAAGTAACGCTGTACTTTCGTTGCAGACAGCTGCTATCCAGGCCGTGGCATTCTATTCGCAACCACCATTGACCCCCTTGTTAAATTGGGCTAGAAAGCAGACCGTCCTCCCGTTGGTGGAAAACAAACTCCACCACCGTAGGGCCGCCTCATTGATGGAGACCTGGCTTCGAGGTAGGATCCATCGACATCTCCGTGGGATAGAAATCCCGGCAATCGAGAGATTCCCAGGACCGCATGAACGAGGGGTTCCCTGGGCTTACTAGGGATGCGGTCGAGGTTGTTGAAGAAGGTAATACGCGGTTTATGAGCCACGAGGGAGGACAGTACACCAGCGACCCCGACGGAAAAGCAGCTCGCACCACTTCCTCGGGCACCGGAGAGAGCCTCGACCGGAAGATCTCAGTCCACCATCTCGGAGAGCAGCCGTACACGGACTCGATGGAACGTTGACTAGGGCTTTAAATCGTATTGAGCAGGCACACGACTCAGTTGAGCAATGTCACGACACCAAATGGTCGGCTTTTCGAACGAAACATGCCCGAGGACCAAATGTCTATTTAGTGATAGCATAATCACCTTAGAATGAGATGAGAACAAGGGAAACTTGTCCATCTTGGAGAGCGCATGCACTCTCTGACCTCGCGATGTTGTCCAGAACTTCTGGTTCTGCGTGTTTTGAGTGGAGATGGAAGTCCACTGCCGTGATGCTTGGCGGCCCAGTCACCTCGTGGCCAGTTACCGATGCCATGGGTTGATAGGGGCTCCAGTGAAGAGAGTCAGGAGCAGCAGAAAACTGCCGCAGTCTGCCCACAAGCGAATTGTTTGGTTGGGGATTGGGTTATGTGGGCTGGCAGAAGAAGCGTTCATCCCCGGACGAACATCCTTGGAAGAATTGCTTGCCTAATCTGGCGGGCAGAAATTTGCGCTTTGTTTGACGCTAGATGGAAGAGGAATTGGCTGCCGTTGTTCGCTCTCTGGAGGCAAACACTTGCTGGAGCTGATGCTTGCAAGTTGCAGAAGAGAGAATTGCGTGACGTTGACAATCTCAGCGGGATGATGACATGATCTAGTGACTTATGCGTAGCTGTTGCTTTATCCGCAGTTCATCTCATCCTACTGATGCATAATGTGTTCGTGGAATAATACACTGCTACGTCCACAAGAACTGGAGAACTGGGGAACAAGCAATGCCGGTCCAGGGTCGTCAAGAAAAGGTCCGAGGGAAACATGATCAGACGTTATCTTATCGATAGCAGGATCAGCGGAGCTATCTTATCGATAAACATCTGTGCCTGACAGGCATTACTTACATGCCTCAAGGTTCAGGCAAGAAGGATGCTTCACGGCCCCACTCTACAGCTCCAGCGACCAGCCCTGACTGACGTGGTGAGCCTCGAAAGAAGCTACGTCTCCAATATCGCCAGCTCCAGGTACCACCTGTCCACTCACGCACCCAAACGCGCCTCGCAACCCCGGCGCAAAACGGCTCTCGAGCCCACGACCGACGACTAGCTCCTATATCCTACACACAATCCATTGCAACCAGATTTGCAACGACACCTATCACGAACCGACGACGAAACGAGACGGAATCGAGGCGCGCCTACTCCAGACAAGGGGGTAGTAATCGAAAGGGCACTCCAACCAATTTACCTATACCAAACATACCTCAACCTCAACCTCTCAAATCCGACATACACAGCAGACGATGTCAAACTACTACCAACCCCAACAATCCTACGGCCCCGGCGCAGGAGGCGGCGGCGGCGGCGGAGGAGGAGGTGCCCAAAACCTCCAGTTCTACCCCTCCTCCTACTCCCCAGCCGGCGCCGTCTCGGGCCACGCAACCCCACAACAGGCCTCCTACGGCTACGGAGCCCAACCCGCCGCGGCAGGCGGCTTCGGCGGTGCGGCAGCCTTTGGCGCCCCTCCTGGCGGCGGCGTCGGTGTATCGGGTCGCATGGGCGAGCAGGGCGGTCTGCGCACGGGTTGGCTGGCGGCCTTTTCGACTGAAGGCTATGATGGCGAGCCGCCCTTGCTCGAGGAGCTTGGGGTCAACTTTGGGCATATTCAGGCAAAGGTGTGTTTTATTGGGTGTGATGCGCGATTGGGCGTGAAGCATTGAGAGAACTTGCTCCCCCAACCTCTATAAGAATGGATCTGAACATGGGGAGAGCATCTTGGCTGACCTTCGATGATTTGCAGACTCTGGCGGTCCTGAACCCCTTCCGCCGAATCGACCAACACCTAATGGACGACGCAGACCTCTTCGGTCCCCTACTCTTCGTCCTCTCCGTACGTTGCAAAACCCAAAACCTCACCTCCCTTCCCTACCACAAATACAAAGCTAACCTCTCTCCTCTCTCAGTACGGCACCTTCCTCCTTCTCTCCGGCAAAATCCACTTCGGCTACATCTACGGCCTCGCCCTCCTCGGAAGCACCTCCCTCCACATAATCCTCTCCCTCATGACGCCCACCGACGCCCACCCCTCAACAGCACCCCAGGCACCCCAATACGGCGGGCCCGTCTCCTCCGTCGGCGGAGGCTACCCCGGCGCCCCGGACACCCACCACGACCACCCGTCGCGCAACGCCGCGGGCCACTTCTCCTCGACCCTGACCTTCACTCGCTCCTCCTCCGTGCTGGGCTACTGCCTCCTCCCTCTGGTGGCCACCAGCGTGTTCGGCGTCTTTATGCCCATGGACACGCCCCTCGGTATCGTCTTCACCACCATGGCTATCCTCTGGTGCACGTACTCCGCCTCGGGCATGTTTTGCGCTGTTGGACGGATGAGGGGTATGCGCGGGCTGGTGGCGTACCCGCTTGCGCTATTTTACGTCGGATTCGGTATCATGGGTATTTTCAGCTCTAGGGGCAGCGGCGGGTCTCTGGCCAAGGCGGCGGCTGGGCTGAAGGGTTGAGCAGGTAGGGTGACAACATGAAGGAAAACCTTAGAATCGCCAAAAAAAGGCAAACTGGTTCCACGCGAGGAATCTCGAAAACGCCGGAACTGTAGAGGGCCAATCATACCAACAAGGGCACGGCGCATTTTGGTGTATACCATGGAAGTTGAAAGTTGTGGGAGCCACGGGAGAGGTGCGAGAGCCAACAGGAGCCCAAAAAGGAGCCACGATAGACGAATAAGACAACGAAACAGACAGATGCATGCCCACGGCTACCAGAGGAGGCGGAAGCCAAAGGACCGACGATGCTTCACGTCATTGTACAATACTTTTAATCATGTTCAGACGAAGCCAGAAATAAATTTTTTGATAGTCCAATGCCTCCTATCCCTTCCGTTTTCCATGCTGCTCAAAAGATAAAAATGCACAATGCTGGGCTAGGAGATCCTCTCGTAATATACACATCAAGTGTAAAGAAAAGGGGAGGATCAGACCTTGATAACTTCTCGAGACCAAGCATAGTATTACAGGAGACTATCATCAGTCTCCATAGCCAAACAGCCTCCGCGGCGGTCACGATACTCCGCTAGGCACACAATAGGAGGGGCCTTGTCGAGCAGAAAATCCTCGTTGGTATCATAAGTTTGACTCCCCTTCGAGGCCGTTTCTATACCTGCCCATCCGTTCATGCCGAGTCGAAGCCTCACTGCCGCTCTCGTCCAGAAAAAATCTATTAGTCCGCTCAGGGGACATTGGAGAAAAAACCGGAAACTCGTCAAAATCAGATTGTTGCACGAATGTATCGTACCGCGAGTGAAAATGGCTCATGCTGAGAATGAACCAAAGGAAAAAGCATCGCGACTGGAATTGGTATGCCGCCTCGGCTCATGTATGGAGTCCACCTCTTATTTCTGGTGATTGCGGCGCTTGCTCGTTCATCATCCGTGTTCTTGTAGAAGCCAGTCGTATCCGCTTGCTGTTATTTGGAACTCGCCGCCGCGCTGTCAAGGTTCAACCTTTTCTCTAAGAGACTTAGAAAACAGGTCTGAAACCACCGGTGGCTGGTTGAGGCGCGAAGCCGTTGACCTTGGGAACGTCGGCAACACCTCCCAGGATAGAGTACTGGCCACCGGCGCCAGCGAAGACGAGCTTCTTACCGCGGACAGCGGTGTTGTCAATGGTGGTCGGGGTCTCGATATCCTCAGTCGTGCCCTGACCAGTCTGGTAGTTGGCAGAGAAGCCCCACGAGTGAGCCTCGCCCTTTCCGTCGATGGCAAAGTTGTTGTCGACACCAGCGGCAACGTATACACACTTTGCGATATCTAGTGACTTACGTTAGCGATACTCGGTAAGGAATGGACAGGTGAACTTACCCTCAACAGCAGTAGGCTTAGAGAGAATGCGGGGGTTGTTGCTCTCATCCTTAATGACGCTTTCCGCATCCAGCTCCTCGACAGGGATACCGACCTGGTGGCCATCCAGACGTCCCCAGGTCAAGAGCTTGCCGTCCTCGGTGCAAGCAAGAGAGTGGTGCTCGCCACCAGCAATCTGCTTGATCTTGTAGTTCTTGAGCGACTCGACAATGGTAGGACGCAGAACAACAGCGTCATCCTCGCCAGCACCCATCTCAATACCAGTCTCGGCAAAGTTGTTGAGACCCCAGGCCCAGACGGCACCATCCTTGCCAAGAGCAAAGCTGTGGTAGGATCCGCAAGCAATGCGGTCAACCTTGTTCTTGGGAAGACCCATGCTCTGGGGGATAAGGGAGGAAAGCTTGTTGCGCTCGATGATACGGCGCCCAAGCTGATTCTGCTGGCCGCAACCCCAGGCGACAACGACACCCTTGTCGTCAAGAGCGAGAATGTGGTTGGAACCGGCAGCAAGGGCCGTGATGTTCTTCAATGTGGGAAGGTAGGCGGGAGTCTTCTGGATCTGGATCTTGTCGGTGAAACCGAGGATACCGTCACTCGACTGGAGAATGTTAGCTACTTATCACCTCATGCTGCGGCTAGATAGCTTACTCTGAATGTGCCCCATCCGTAAACCCTGCCATCCTCAGTCAAGGCGAATGTGGCACTGTCACTGGCAACGACCTGAGTGAACTTGACATCGGGAGCAAAGTTCGTCGCGTCAACGGCGGTGGGCGTGCTCTCGTGGGGGTTGATGCCGGAGTCGTCCTCGTCGTCTTCCTCCTCTTCGGCGTCAGCGTCGCGGAGTCCTCCATCCCAGTTGGTGTCGCGACCAAGAGCGCCCTGGTCGTTGACGCCCCATGTGAGGATCTTGTTGTCCTTGGTCAGAGCAACGACGTGCATGCCACCGCAGGCCACTTGGACAACACCGACGTCCTTGGCATCAAGCTTAGGGTTCAATCTCGGGCGCTTGACATCGACAACCTTCTTGCCGTCAAGCTTCTTGCTGCCGAGACCGAGCTCGCCAGAGGATCCCTCGCCGAATACATACACATCGAGGATCTGGGTCGGCGCAGAGTTGATCTTCTTGCCAATCTTGTGGGGGTGGGCTGGGGGAGGCTTGGGGGCAGCGACAGCGGCCTTCTTGGTAGCCTTCGCAGGCTTGACAGCCTCGGGCTCCTCATCCGCAGACTCTGTCGCCTTGGCCGATTCCGTAGCCTGGCTGTCGACCTCAGCAGTGTCAGTCTTTGACTTCTTTGCCTTGGGCTTCTCGTCTTCTGTCGCCTCCTCGCTTGACTTGCGCTTCTTGGTATCAGCAGCGGGCTTGGCATCAGTCTTCTTTGCGGCAGCAGTCTTCTTGGGCTCGGCCTTCTTCGCGGCAACCTTCTTTGCGGGCTTCGCGACCTTGGGCTCCTCTTCGGTCTCCTCGGCAGCCGCGGCCTTCTTCTTGGGGGCGGCAGCGGTAGTCTTGGTCTTCTTCACAGCAGGCTCTGCTGCCTTCTTGGTGTTCTTCTTGGGGGCAGGCTTCTCGGTCTTCTCGGGCTCCTCGGCCTCGGACGCTTCGACTTCTGATTCCTCCTCGGCGAGCTTGCGCTTCTTGGAGGCGGCAGTCGCGCCATTGGTAGTAGCTTCCTTCTTTCCAGCGGGTTTCGCGGCAGGCTTCTTGGTGATCTCGTTGCCCTTCTTGGCGAGGGGAGTCTTCTTCGGTGCTGCTTTGGGCTCAGCAGCCTTCTTGGGGGCGGCCTTGGGAGGCATGATCGTCAGGTGATGATATGATGTGTGCTTGGCGATAAAACGCGTGTAATGGGATGGGGATTTTGGTCAAATCGAAGGTTTCGCAGAGAACAATTGAAGAATCGATTCTTTGTGATGCGAATTGATGCAATCGAGATGAAGAACTTGAAAAGAAGAGAGTCAGAAGAGGAGGATTATTCTGGGTATGGGGGGAAGAAAGAAATTGTTTCGAGGGTAGGGCGGAAGTGACGCGACCGGAAGGTGCAGCTTTATTTTCTTGGGCTCTGGAATTCTGACCAAGCAGGGGTGGCGCTTTGTGGCTCTCAGCGCGGGCTTAGCTGCGGTGCGCTGCTGGCGGCCCCAGGGCCCAGTACGTAGTAGGTTCGTTCTTTTGCGCAACTGCCTTTTACCTAGTGCGATCCCGGGTGGGTACCTTCCATGGGTACCTGACCTTCTGGGCCGTTTTTTTGCGCAGCTATGGCCCGAGCTCCCGGGGCCGGGTGCAGTTATGCCCCAATAGGAAGCTGCGATCGATGATAGAGCTTCTGACCGCCCGGTCACACCTGCCCTTTTTCTTGCAGTTCTCCGGCAGAAAAGGCAATCGCAATGGAAGAGCCCGGCAAGAACAAAAAAAAAAATCATTCGAAAAATCCAAGGGTGGGTCCTTCCCTTCCGGTGAGTCGGGGAAACCTCGCGTCGTCTGCCGATGCCCCCAGAATCCCCACGCCACGACGACTCGGCTTTCTTTCATTTCTTTGCAATTTGGCGCGAAATTGTGCCCGGCTGGACAAAAGAATCGGCCTTCTATGTTTTGCTTCCGAGGTCCATATTGTTGTTTTATAGTGTTTGAGCTCGTCACAATGCGCTGTTGGTCCCGCCAGCCAGCCAATTGCTTATAGCCGCTCAGACAGAGCCGCGTCTTGACGGTCAGTGTGTAAGTCGACGAAGCGCGCTTGCCAGGGCGATTCCCCAGAATTGCATCAGACCAGACTACATGACATACTCCCTACGATGCGATACTGTCCTCTCCATTGTCCACAGAATCCAAGATGGTGCTCACCTTGATCATCAACAGCATTTCCCGAAAGATTTCAATCTGGAAGCAACAATGTCGATGCACACAGTGGCCCTAATAATACTACGCTTCAAGTATGGCATCTTGGTTCGCCTTTGGAAACGAAACCAAGTCACCTCCTCATGTCTAATTCGAAAGGTTGTTACCAAATGAATGCCATGTTGATTCTCATCGCTAGCTACTGGATGGTATACTTGTTATCGCTGGTGTCTTGTATCCGCAATTCGCTGTCGCATGAATGTCAGTCTCGTCTGGACTTTATATCGACACCACCAACCAATCCTTGGTCTGGTCGGAGTAACTCTCTCAGCGTTTCCCTTTTCTTCTGTTTTTCTTGTTCTTCGGTTTCTTCCCCCTGTTTCCGCCACCGCCTTGCTGAGGCTGAATTGGACCCGGCGCAGGAGGTTCCTCTACCTCGTCAGGCCTCTCTACCTCGTCAGACCCATCCTCCTCGTCGACCTCCTCTATTGTTTCCAGCCTCTCTTTTCTTCCAGATTCCTTAACCTTTCCGGGCTCCAATGGCTTGAGTGGCTCCGCAACCCTGGGCTCAGTCACGAAGAAGCTCAGTACCTTCGAGAAGCCCTTGCCGAAGTAGTTGGCCATGAAGAACGCCGCGAACATGATGAGCATCTTCTAGACGCGTTTCGGATTCGCCAACCACATCCAGAACTTCAGCCGCTCTGTCCAAAGCTCACGGTGCTCTTTCTGCCAACATCTGCAGCGGCCCCAAACTTCTCGCAGCCATCTCTCAACCCGTCCGAACAAAAAGTCGTATACCGGAATAACGACTGGTCGATAGA